GGTTGGAGGCCATTGCTATTGGGTAGGGGCCATCGCTCTTAGGTTGGTGGCCATCGCTCTTGGGTTGGAGGCCATCGCTCTTAGGTTGGAGGCCATTGCTATTGGGTAGGGGCCATCGCTCTTAGGTTGGAGGCCCTCGCTCTTAGGTTGGAGGCCATCGCTCTTAGGTTGGAGGCCATTGCTATTGGGTAGGGGCCATCGCTCTTAGGTTGGAGGCCATTGCTATTGGGTAGGGGCCATCGCTCTTAGGTTGGAGGCCATCGCTCTTAGGTTGGAGGCCATCGCTCTTAGGTTGGAGGCCATTGCTATTGGGTAATTACGGGCCATCGCTCTTAGGTTGGAGGCCATTGCTATTGGGTAGGGGCCATCGGGCCATCGCTCTTAGGTTGGAGGCCATCGCTCTTAGGTTGGAGGCCATCGCTCTTAGGTTGGAGACCATTGCTATTGGGTAGTGGCCATCGCTCTTAGGTTGGAGGCCATCGCTCTTAGGTTGGAGGCCATCGCTCTTAGGTTGGAGGCCATTGCTATTGGGTAGGGGCCATCGCTCTTAGGTTGGAGGCCATCACTCTTGGGTTGGAGACCATCGCTCTTAGGTTCCAGGCCATCGTTTCTAGGTTGGAGGCCATCGCTTCTAGGTTTTGTTTTGGGCATTTTATTGCGAACGGGGTGTGTTCCGGCCGCTACCTCTCCGAGTCCGCCCAGGTCTCGCGTGCTGTTGGGAAGACGGTATACCACACAACAGCCCGGAGGTCCCGGTGTTCTCACTTCAAATTGGGCGCGACAGATTCTGATGGAGGGGAAAAGAGCTCTTTGGTGTGTTCCGTGCGAAACTGCGCAAGGTTTGCTGTTGATACTTCTCAAGCGTATGAGTTTCTTGAACCCAGCCCTCCATTGGTACCAAGGACAACTTTACTCGCAGATCAGATCAATTTATGTAATGTTACCCCCTCTTGCACAGCAAAAGAGCTTCAGTTAGCGGTTTTCATCAACAAGGCCACTGGGACTGTATGTTCCGGTTTCTGTTCGATACCGGTACCTTTTGGGGGGGGTCACAAAGTGGCGTGCTCTCCCAGGGACTGTGAGGACGGACAGTTACTGAGAAGGACAACACCGAAGGCTTGAAGGATCCTAAATGATGAGTGATGAGTTGCTAGAATGGGGCGACGAGGTTGAATAGGGTTGGAAAACGACTGACATGTTTGGGACTGCATGACTGCATGTAGAGAGCAAGAACAGATTGAACAAAGGAGTTTCAAGACATGCTGGTCTCCATGCTGCCATGCTCCAGCAAAGCTCCATATCTTTGCCTGGATTCATCACCATATTGCCATAATAGTGTTTTCGAGCTGCAGATGCAGCTGCAGGTGCCTCGAAACATAACATCCTTGTGCGGGGTTGCAGAATCGAAATCCCACCCCCGGACATTCACAGACGCTTTCCATCAGATGGGTCAAGCGACTGTTCGAAAAGGTTTGCTCAGCAGTTCTGGTGGCTGAGGTCCCAGAATCTTCCGCGGATTCTTCGGAAGAAGCTGTATAATATATTATAATTAATAGTTTAAGCTATAACTTGTTCTCTGTGATGTTTCTGTTCCGGGTCAGCTGCCCAATCCACGCGTCAGCCGGATCGTTTGGACCGTCCGGATCCTCCGGGGGAGACGGCACTTAGGTGGGCGGCGATCGCCTTGGTGGCGGCCGCCGGGGAACCTCCGGGGAACGGGGCGGTGTGACAGGTGGCGAAAGGTTGCCCAAAAAGGGGTTGAACGGCGTTGAAGGGGCTGGTTTTCAGGGAAGTTCTGATGAACGATGATGATGGCAAAGCAATAGAAAGGCATATATATCATACGTGTATACGGTATATAAATATGGTCAGTCTGTTCAACTTCATCCTATTGCGTTTGTAGTATAAGTGCCATGTACAAGCTGGAGCCCCAGTATAAAGCTTGCGGCTTGATTCTTGCAGCATTTCAGCTGAACGAATGCTGGCAAAATTATCATTGGCACCGGAATAGACTTCCAAGGACATTCCCCCACAAAGCAAACCTCAGTGAAAGCGAAAATCATGGATACCTTCACTTTTTTGCAGCTTTTCCAGTTTCATTATGGCCTCAGCTGGAGGTCGTGTAGTTTGTTGGTTGCCCCATGCAAGTGCAAAAGTAGTACACTAGACAGCAATCACATACCGGGAGAGAGAGAGAGCGGGGGAGGAGGAAGGAAGAAAAGAGAGAAACAGAGAGAGAGAGAGAGAGAGAAAGAGAGAGAAAGAGAGAGAGAGAGAGTTAATATGTGTTGTAGCTGGAGGACCTGGCTATTCACCGAGATTCATTTGCAGACTGCATGGCTAACTGATGGCTAGCTGATGGCGAACGAGCATGCGGATGAGCATGCGGATGAGGGCGAGGACTGCTTGGATGTCTTCGTCGAAGGTTATTCGTTCCATACCAAACATCCCGGCACCCACGGGTAGCTTTAGAGGGTATATAAACAATAATATCTCAGACAATTACCCAGTGCAATGTGCAAATGGACAAATTCGGGTCTAGATGGACCAAAAGGTTCATCGATTCTAACAAGGAGCCCCCGGAGCGTCTTGTGTTCCTGCCTCGGCTGTGGAAACCACCACCCCCATCGCCGTCACCGTCTCGTCACCACTCTCCTGCGAGTGACTCCCAGTCGATCTTGCGAAGCTTCGGGGAGGCTAAGATGGTGGATCTCGAGCTGGTAGGCATCAACGGCGAGAGCTTCCCTGTCCATGTGCCACTCTGGTCGCGAGGCTACGAGATCCGACGCATGGTCAGTGACCGAACCATGGCCAAGCCAGGTGGGGCACAAGAGTTCGGTGGCAGAACTTGGACTTACTTAGTCTCTCTATATATATATATTATACCCTATATAGAAATCAAAGGACAGACGTTTTAGATATGTTTAGCTCCACCCAAATCAAGGACATTCCTTTTTCGGATCACCTAATGACCTATATATAATGCCTAAAGACCCGTCAAAAGAATTGCCCACTCGATTGATATATTCGATATATTGAGCCCCTATCCGCTGAAGTGAAGCGTTGAAGTCCCAGCGTCTAATTGGATCCACTGGGCCATGCGAAGCAACTTGACGTCTCGACTGGGCGTCGAACAGTTATGACAAACACCAGTCTCAGACTGAGCGTCGTGTCATCGCACCGTCCATGTCGGCACCGATGTTGGGAACCTCCACGGTCACGCGATGGGAACGGTCTGCCACGGTGATGGACACGGAGGTGCCTCGATCTCTTTGTTGCATCAGAAGTTCGAGCTATCTATGGCAAAGAGCTTGCAGGCTGTGATTAATCTGGAATGGATTTCTGGGTCCGACTGATTGGGGATGATCGAGGAGGATGGAAGAGTAGGAGGAGGATTATGACTTATGGTCACGAATCATACTGATCTTGTCATTGAGATCTTGGCATAGTTTGGCACGACATATGATAAATGAGTATAAATGAACTGGTCGCTTTCTTAAGTCCTTTGGAATTGGTCGTTCCATACCGGTTGCTACACCATTGAACAAATGGTCATGATGTGGGTCGGAGTTTCTTCTATACCATTGTTTTGGATATGTCCGATGCCAGTCTACTATCCCCAGGGCTCCTGTCCCATATCCTCAGTTTGGTTAGACACCCCCAAACCACCCACCTCTGGCCCACCTTCGTTTCACGGAGGTAGCACCGGAGCCCTATAGGCTATACGTATTCTATACGTCTTCTTCGCCAAAGAGAGCTGCAACATATCACTGAGAACAGCACCCCAACCCGCCCGGTCGGGCGTCCGCTCCGCTCCGGTGGGCGTCTGATCCTGTATACGAGCCAATATGAAAAGATGAACATGACCGTATGAACATATATGAATGATTCTACCTGCTAGAGACATAGGATTTAGTGGAAGTACCTGAAGACCAGATCAGCCCTAAAGCCCCATCAGCCAGGAAAGCATGTTACAGTACAAGAAACAGTGTGGGTTTCTTTGCCTGATCTATAGCTGGGTGGTCCAGGTTAATGCTGGGAAAATCCATGGCATGGCGACGGTGTGCATGGGAACATTGCAACCTCCACTCATTTGGGTGGTGTATCACCGAGAATCACCCACGGATGTTGGAACCAACTCCGGCCCTGGAAAAAAGGGGGGGCCGGAGGCGTTTTGAAGGGTGGAGGGTACTGTAACTGACCAATCAGGTAAGTTGTATCACTGATTACAGCATAGGTACTCAGAGGTCAGTGGAGGGCCCTCAATGCATGCATGATTGGAAATATGTTTAATCATGTTTATTTGTTAATTATGTTTATTCTTTTTGGGAGACCACTCTGAGTGTGATCTAGCCATTTGTCCCTACAGGAAATGGCTTGCAATGAATGTACAAAGGTTTTTGAGTTTGCTCCTAGAGCTTGATCGGCAAGTCGTGATCATGTGCAGGAGCAAAGCATTCCTTTGGGAGCTAACATCTCCTACTTGTTCCTCCCAACCAACGTGTGGAGAGCTTAGTTGACTGAGGGCCACAGGAGTGCTTTTCTTAGGGACCAAGTGAAAGGCTGGGTATTTAATTGGCCAGGTACGTTTTGTTTTTGGCGAATGCGTAGCCAAGGGTTTTCGTTTAACTCTGGGGGGTCTGGGGGTTAGACTCTTGTTCGCAACCTTTGCGGCCTTTCTTTTGGAGAAGGTTTTGGATGGAACCATGACGTGTAAGTGTAAGATTCGAAGTAGCAAGGAAACGTATGGAAACGCAACGGGATGAGTTTGCTGCGCAGGTGCAGTGTTTTGTGAGATCGTAAGTTTCTTCGCTGTGAGATTGGGATTGGCGTTTAGAGGGTGGTATGTTTGACGTGTTGGATGTCGCTGTGACATTGGGACTTGCGTTTCAGGCTGTTGCTTCGAAGATGTGCTTTCGTGACAGGCAACAGCTAAAGTGGTTTTCGTGAACGCGTCGAAAACACTCCAAACGTCGCGTGGTGCGGTGCAAGTTTTGCTGAAACATTGGCATGATTGAACATGTCATGCCGTCACTTTTCGTGGCAGGTGCAATACTTTCTGTGTTGGAGGTGTCGAAGTTGAGTTTTTGTGGGAGGCGCAGGGGATTGTGAGCTTGCGACGTTTGGTGGAAGTGACTGTTGCTGTGACATTGGGATTGGTGTGTTGGCGGGTGTGGCATTGAGGGGCTGGGACTGCGAAACTGCTTGGCAGGGCTGCTGGATGTGGTCGCTTTTATGAGACTTCCCGCTTCATTGTTGAAGGAAGTCTCGTACCAAGCGCTCGTTTTGGAGACTTGACGTGTGAGTGTTCCACAAGAGATCACAAGAGTGTCTTGTGTCTTACAATACAAGAGTGTCCTACAAGAGTTTTCCACAAGAATGTCCCACAAGAGTGTTCTACAAGAGTGTCCCTGCAAGTGTGTCCTACAAGAAAGTCCCACAAGAGCACCGCCTACAAGAGTGTCTTCCAAGAGTGTCAAACAATGTTTGGCCACTTGTTTTCGAGTGCCTGTGCGCATTTGGGTTCGTGGCCGCCATCTTGTTTTCAGGAGGGATCACAAAGTAAACATCAAATATGATATAATATTCCACCCACCTGGACGCTACAATAACTGAGAATCACACTCAACTGCCTGGACATTTCGCTGACCAAACCTTCGAAACACATGTAAGTAAGATCATAATCTGGTGATTGTTGGTGAACCTCCTGATGTTAAGCCACTGTGCACTTCGCATGTCACTTGGTGACCAGCCAGCCCTGACAAGTCTGGATCGCAATTTGGTTGTTGTGCTTGGAATTCTGGGAACTGTGTATTTCCCTGCATCCTCGCATCCTTTTCAGAAGGAGGGCTGTGGATTCGTTTTTTTCCACACGTTTTTGCCTCACATCTTTGCGGCGGTGTTCGAATTCGGCCTGACCGGAAGTCCTCTGAGCGTCCGTCGGTTTCTGCAGGTTCTCCGCTTGGAAGTTCTTGAACGGTTTCATGGTCGATGAGCGGGAGTGCGCCTTGGAAGGTGTCACTCAGATTGAAGGCGCCACCGACGCCGTGATCTTCCCCAAGTCCTTAGCGAAGTTGACCATCCGTCAGGACGTACCTTGACGGACGCGAGAAAGAAAAAACAAATCTTAATATCTACTATTACTATATAATTATGTGTCTGTCCTGAAATTGAGGCTTTTGATATCCAAACTCTGAAAGGTGCAAGATGTGGCAGTTTTGGGAGAAGGCAGGTTGATGCTGAAATCCTTGACGTTTTTTTTTTTGAAATTCGGTAATACGGTGTTAGCTCAGGGTTTGCGCAGATTTCCGTGGTTTGCCTTAGTACTAGTCTGTATACTAGCTATTATACTGAGAGCCAATGAGTTAGGACTTTCAGAACATCACGTGGAAATGGACAACTCCTATCTCATGAGGGAAAAGCAGTTTTGACCATTGTGCGGGTAGCTAACTCCTGTCTCATCATGGTGTGCGTCGATTTTGTGAGGCATTTTATGTGTTTCTTTTTAATCATTTCTGGGCTATGCCAGCAGGTGGTGACACATGAGATAGGACTTAGGCCATACATGGACATAGAGAATGGGGTGAATCGTTGTCAGGCTGGAGGCGCAACCTCATGAGATAGGACCTATGCATGGAGTAAGAACACTGCATCCCATCCCATGCGCGGTTCAAAATTGAGCCGTTTTTGGCTCAC